CTCTACTTAATAAGCCTGGGCATTTGCTTTTCAGTTTATGCTTTTACTCCTAATGTAAATGGTAAGGCATTCCCCTCTCCATAACCCCCAAAATACCTTGATTTTTCATACAAGCACTTAATCAGCCTGCTTATTACCAGGCCTTCTTCTCAAATAGGTTATCTATTGTGCAAGGATGTTGTAAGAAACTGTAAGTGAATTTAGACTGTTGCACTAAGCTTGTTTTCTTACACAATATCTGTCGTAAGTTTTGTTGTCTGTAGCATTTAGAGTGCACAAATAATTCTGAATAATTCTTCGTGAACAAGAGCAGCACACAAAGAGATGGCAATGAGAAGGGGAAAAAAATCCTCGCATCTTTCAGATTCAGCTGTCATTTTTGTGAAAGAACCAAAAATCTGGTCAACTATGTGAACGCTGGCCAGACTTGGCAATTGCTAGAGAAAGCCATAAAATTGAAGAAGGGACTTGCATACTGAGCAGCAAAAGACTGACATCAGCACAAGAGTCACTGCCCATTGGATGTGAAGAACAACATTTGCACTCCTTGATTTTTTTTTTTTTTTTTTTTAAGCTCAAGCACATCTAGGAAAGTGTAAGTACTAAATAAAAATACGACACAGGTAATAAATTGCTATACCACTACCTTCCGCACTAAGTATCCCACCATGGCACAAACCTGCAATTTCACCTGGGCAGATAGTTCCTCATGCTTGAGCAGAGACCTGCTGAACTCAACACAGGGTGAGATGAAGGTCCCCAGCTCACCAAGTCACAAGGTTAGCTGAAAATCTGAGTTTTCACCTCAGGAAAGGAGAGCATGTGACCCCTAACATCTGCACAGACATGAAATAGTAAGGGCAGGTGTAATATTCTTATGTCTCTGAGCGTCACAGGACACGGGCTACTTCCTGGGCTCACCATGACCCTAAGCTAAGTAACTGAGATGTAAACACGACCAGGCTGCCACCAACTTCCTTACCGAAAAATACCCAAACTYGCTGCTTCACACCTAGAGCAGAAGTGCCTCCTCTCCAAATCACGAGCTGTCAATAGTAACAAATTATTTTATTAAAGGCTAATGATTTCTTATAGACATGATGACCTCACCCTTTCCTAGCATTCCAAGATTGAACTGCTTTTTCCTGGAAAATAAGTATATTTGGGGTATGTTCCACATCTGCCGGCGAGCTTTTTGTTCCTACGAGCATCGCAACTCTCTGTGATACAGGAAAGTGCTCTTTTAGCTCCTAAGCACGAGAAGATTCAGAAGCCATAGCAGGATTTTCATCCACATGGCTCACAAAGGAAAGGTGGTGAACGTACCACGAGCCTGAGCAGTATCTGGAACACGTCAGGCTGACAATACTACCGGCTGATATTAAACTGTCCGTTATTTGGGAGTTGCCATTAAACAACATCAACAAAAAAGGATTAAATAGTCTCCCAGTGAACGGACGCAGCGGAGCGGGCGCTGGCGGCGGCAGGGGCGGCGAGGCAGCGCTGGCGGGGCGCAGCGCGGCCGCCCCTCGCCCCCTGCCCTTCCTTTGTTGCTCGGTGTCACCTGCCGGGCTCCCCTCGGAGGCGGCCGCGC